TCACGGCTCATAGAATTTACAAACATTGGCCTAATCCATCTGTTTATGGGCTCAGATATATCAAAATCTTCGTAGTCTCTGGTTCTGAAATGAATGAGTTGTGATTGAAGTACTTAGTTTTCACTTGATTCAACAAAATTCGAAAATGTTGAGTCATTCAACAATCGACGGCCTCTGCACGAGGTCCCCAATTGATCCTTACGAGAACAAATAACCGTTTGAAAATCCAATGAATCACAAAGCACTTTTTGTACCCTAAAAAACGTGTGAGCAAGACAAGTATCGCAGCGGTGCTTGCTTAGAACGCGTTTGCTTCCTTAACGTAAAATGATTTGAGGCCCCAGCAAGGAGGAAGTGTTTTGATCTGGTGTTAACGCATGCATTAAATTTTGATAAAAAAAAAACAAATTTAAGAGGAAAAAAATGTTTGCTTGCGAGTGTTGTTGAAAAAGTTTGAAAAATTCTAATAGAAGACCTGGGGTTTCTCATAGGTCTATTCCGGACACCTAAGTCACGTAAAGCGATTTGTTTATTCTCATTAGTTTTCAAAAATTTTGCATACCCTTAAACTCTTTGCTGCGCATATTCTTCCCAAATTTTGAGGCAGTGCATGGGTTTGATTAGATAAGTTTAAGGAAACCAGGTAACTGAACTGTATCTGAACCCAAATGCGCACTAAAGCAGACTGGTGCGTTATATTATGTAATTATCAGAAACGATTGTGAAGCGAGCATTGGGGAAGGCGAAAACGGAAAAAGAAACTACGATCTCTCGGATTCCCGTAACTCGTACGATTCCCCTTTGCTTTTCTCTATGACGATTTCTCGCTTCCCTTCCGGTGAGCCGCTGCTGAGGCCGGTTGTAAATGAAAAAAACCGACTTTCGTTTGATAAGGTTGTTACTAAACAAATTAACCTTGGTCAGTGAGGAAGAGAAGAGGAAGTGCCTCCTCATACTTGTTAGTCCCTTAGAAAAGAAACGGGTAAATAAATAATATCTGAAAAGCTGCTTCTACGGCTGCTGCACTTCCAGCGTATAAAAGTGTGAAATTTATAGTACAACCTTCAACTTCTCTCCCTGCCCAAAAGATGGCAAATGTCCCGGGACCAACACTTCAGAAATTCATATCAATGGAGTTAGAAGAGCTTGACTTACTTGACAAAAAGAACAGTATTATTACGGCTTGCCGGTGGTAGCTCCGCTTTTCCAAGACATTGAATAGTCTTCTCCCCTTTACGGCTGGTAAGCACAGCAATAGCCTTTTCTTCTAGAGCACAGTCCCAATCCTAGAAAACATAGAAATTACGATTAAGTATTAACTCAAAGTCCAAATGTTTCTTTTAGAAATCTATCTACCATCTGCATCATATATTTTCCTTTTGGTAGATATGGATTAGAAGTATATCCATTTGGTTGTTTTCCCTGAACCAGATCTGCGCGGGCGACATTCACAGGCATCAAGACCATTTGTTCAATCTCTTTTTTCCCTAGTCTGCCATTTCGACATACAGCTATAAGAGATTTCTTTCATAATTGTAGCCCAAAATCCCAACTTACCTTCAGATGAAACTGAAGTGAACAGGAAAATCTGCAAGGACAATATTTATATATGTGGTTTGTATTGTTCTTTAAAAGTTCCTAAGAATTGAATATGGAACTTACTGCGGATATTAGATGTAGGGTAATCATTTCAAAATGCATTGCACCTTAGAGAAGATCTTTCCAAATTGCTCCTCTATAATATCCTTAGATTAGATCTGTCACAGAAACCACGGATTGAGAGATTTTTGCACTGCAAGTTGCTCATAGATCAGTTTATTGGATGTATAGTTGGAGTCTTGTAAGATCACTACCGGGCATTTTTCATTGGCAAACTACTCAATAGAAATGAAGAAAATGAAGACTGTTAGACACATGAAGCTGTTCTAGTAAGCGTTGACATTGCTGACAGTCTCTTGTGAGTTATTACCAGAAAGTGATGGCGTAATAGAGCATGCGATTTGAAAAAGACGAGGATGAATATAAACGGCTGCACACGGGCGGTTGATCGGACTACATTTGCAGATTTGATGACTCAGTCTTATCCTTCAAAACATCTAATTTTGAATTCTGCTGGAACCAAATAAGGGGGTTTACGTAGCCAAATCAAAAAAGTCCGGAAAAATTCGAAGATTTCAAATATATTTGACTAGATATTTCACGTTTCTTCAATTAGAATACTTATTTGCTATTCTAAGAAGGTGAGGTGGCTAATTTGTTGCAAACTTGCAAGTATGCGTATGGCTGCGAAAAAACGATCAAACAAAAGAATTATTGTTTATCATCCATAGACACGACTGTACCTAAAACAACGAAGTCGGGAAGTCATTCAAGTATTTTTTTACTCTTCAATTTACAAGAGATGAACAAAAACGAGCAATCATGCATAATATCCTGATTCTTGACTACGTATCTCATACGAGCTATAATTTTCACTTCAAACTTGGTACATCCGAGAGACTGTCTACAGACCAATAGCGC